GTTCCGTTACGTGTTTGTTTCCTTTTCAAACGTGAGCTACATCTCATTAGCGTTCGATTTTTACAAAAGCTCATTAAATTAGAGCTGTAAAAAGTAAAGTTATATGTTGCTTTTCACACAATACACGAAAAATTAGTAAAAGATAAATCAAACCGAGGAAATTCAATAAAATTCAATACAATTTCAATATATTTTAATATTTCGGTATATTTACTGTAGAGGAGGGGATAATAAAGGAGATTTTTAATCGGGGGTTTTTATATCAAAAATATTTTAATTATCAAATTATTGTAGAACCGCTACTGCTAAACGTACTGGCACGTGCTTGGTGATATAATTATTGAATTTATTTCATATAGAATTTATTTCATTTAGCACTTAAGATCCTGTTCCTGTCCGAGGAATTGGCCATGTTATCTTCCAGTTTAATAAAATTTCTTCTTGAAGCAGAAATTTGAATAAAAATTCGGCGGAATCCGTCGTCATTAAGATTATATATGATACAGCTTAGAAACGCTAATCTATCTTTTCGATGTGAAGAAATAGATTACGCTTAAATGACTGTTTTCGATCTAAACAATCGTTCTCAAGTCAATGATCCTCTGTCGGGAAGATGCGGTAAAGTGTTTTCGCAGAGAGCGACGTATAAGCGTGACGATCTTCATAATGGTAGCGGTTTTACTTCGTGCTCTCTTCTCACCCTTCGTCTCTCGTAATCGTAGCGATTATTCATGAGAATATAGCGCAGTAACTGTATTCTCACGGTGCAGTGACTTCAATACCGCTATAACGCGCCGCGCGTTTGAGACGTTACTCAAAGCGAAGACAGCGGCGCATTGTAATGCGGCGCGCTCTCGCCATAATCGGCATCGCGCATTTCGTATCAATGTCAATCGCGTCACGACCGGATAAAAATAAAAATTCCGCGCACACCGTGCTTTCGCGAATAAGCATTAACTAGATGACGCTGCGTGGTACCGTAAACCGCGGTTACATGTTGTCGCGGGATGGAGAACTCCGCTGAGAACAGCATTGCTTTCTTTGCTTTCCTTCATTTATTTGGACACTCCGATGTCGATGACTTGGCAATTAATAATAGTAAACAGCGGCAATGTAAACGAAAGGATTAATAAGTTTAACGATAATTTGTAATTTTAATGTTATTTTACTTTAAGGTGTTTTTTTTTTTTTTTAATAGCAAACCTCTCATAAATTTATAATTGTTTTCAATGTTGTTAATAAAATAATTCAGTGTATTTTAAATGCATATTATTTCGATATAAATTATTAAATTATGGTAAATGATGATCGCCATTAAATGATGCCATAAAAATCTACTTTAAATTACTGAAAAAAAATCTGTTGGTAAAACTATGTTTATGGTAGTTGTGAGATATTCTATATATTAAAAGATGAAGAAAGATAAAATTACATATGCGGGATTAAAGGGCATTCCAATGCTACGTGAGTGAACGTCAACAGCGTAAAGTCGATCGCCATTGGGACTTTCCCAAATCGGTCAACAGCGAGTTTCCTTTCGAATCATTATCCTCCAGACACGATGACGTGTCTCATGTAAAACATAGAGGCGGATGCGATTCTCGGACTTTCTCGGATTTCGTCCACGCATTTTCTACTTTTAACGTCGACGACAGAGGAATCGAGACGGAGGTGCCGAGGAGGTGCGAAAGGTTCTTTCGCGAGACAACGAGGAGCATGGTCAGTACGGCGATGCGTCCCGAACAACACGGAGAAAGTGGGACGATGAAAGTGCGACTGAACGACTGCGCCTGTATGTGTCTGTGTTTGTTTTCTGTATGTAATTGTATTGAGTACCCGATCGTGTCCGTTCGAGAGAATAGCGTCTCTTCTATTAGCTTCTTATCGAGAGATAAGAATAATGATAAGATAATGAGATGATAAGCGTCGCGGGCTTCTGTATCTCATTCTCCTGCTACCAGCATAGTTTTTCTGCATATTTTAAATCACCAAAAAACTTACCACTTGCGATAAAACATCGTTGATGAGATTCTATATTTTATATTGTGAGTAAAATTAAAAGCTATAGTATAATAATAATATAATAATTTATTAATTAGCAATTATGATTGTAATCACAGCGTGAATTATCACCGCTGAGACCGCCCTGTCCTTCGAACATTGAAATCTCGTTGCTCGCTGAAGTCATCGGCGGGCAGGTCGCCCTACTTCGTGGATGACCGGTTAAAGGAAACTCCGCTGTTCTCCCCGCGGAGAGGTGAGGGGCTTTCGAAAGAGGCAGGTGGAGTTTCGAGCCTTTCACAGTGATCCTTGGACGACTATCCTGATAAAATTATCTCGGAAAAATAAAAGATTCCATTGTGTGAATTCAATTGTGCGAATATATGTAGCAGCAAGTAAAACAATTTATTTAACAAATTATTAACTGTTTTATTATAAAATTTTGTTTAAAAAAGACTTATTTTATATTACTTTATCAGGGCGAAAGAGATTCATTAGAAGCAAGCCAATACCAATACCAATTCTCGATAAAACTACTTTGTGGCAAATAATAATATGAAATTGTTCGTTTAAAATTCCGAAGGAAAACCTGCGGTTAAATTATCCTTATTTGTTAATTACTTTTGAGAGAAACTCGATTATCATCACGGTGAGAGTATAATGAAAGAGGCAGATAGACAATTTAAATCCTTTCACAATTGTTCCTTTCACAATTTTCTTTCTATAATAAATGGAAGATATCATTTTTTGACAAATACAATGTTTTTCGCATAAGAAAAGTCCAAGTATCTAAAATGTCGAGGAAAATATTCGTTCTCTTTGTTACTTTACTTTTGTTGATTCTTTGAAGTAAAATTCATTATCTGCGACGGAATATCAAGAAAGTGACAGGCAAGTAAGCATTCAATTTCAATCTCCTTTCACAATGATCCTTGAGAGCTACTCGATAAAATTGCTCTTTGTGCAAGGCAGGATAACGAAAATATCTTGTTTCTGCAAGAGCGATCATTTTAATCCGAAAAAGATCAATTGTGCATAATTTTATAGGAAGGATTACAGTTAGTCGACGTTAAAAGTGCGTTGTCATCTCAGGGTGAGAGGTAACCTCGGAAACGGAGATAAATGAGAGTAGGCAGACGGCATTTCAATCCTTTCACAATAATCCTTGAAGCCGATCCGATATAATTATCGCATAAAACAGAACGGAAAGTGTCCCCCTTCCGCCTGGGACTTTCTTAATTTGATATACTCTTTTTGCATACGGCATGCTTCACTGAATTGACAACAAAAATGTTGCTTTTCCTTGTCTTTTTCTAAAACTAAAATTTGCTTTAATATTATTAATGAACAATACTTATAGTTATACAATATTTTTGTTAATAATTTATTTTTATTGCACAATAAATAACGTTTCTCATATTATATAACTCTTCATATCATCCATATTATAATGTAAATCTATTACGTTGTTAATAAAATATCATTAATCCTTTCTCTTTCTAATGATTTTTCAAATATATCAA